ATGGTTCCATAAATTTTTGCTTAAAATTTTTTGCTGTCAGAACGAGCCGTCTGTTCGAATCGAATGGTCGAACCGTCGATCCAAAAATCAATGGCCATAAAGGTTCCGTTTTTTTGTTGTATGAGTCACACGCTTGAATGACATAACACGTATGATACTACTTAATGGACCTCACAAACTCAATTTTTTGCCTATAATTTTTGTTGTCAGAACGGAGTGTCTGTTTGAACCGGATGATCGAACTGTCGACCCGAAAATCGGTGGCCGGAATGGTTTCGTAATTTTTGCTGTCAAAATGGACTATCCGTTCGAACTGAATGGTCAAACCATTGGTTGTCAGAATGTTATTAATAACATTTATCAATAATAGTAAGTAATTATACTATTTAATTAAATAATCATTTATCAATAATAGTTTTAATAATATTATCTAGTTATTTTTAATATAACAGTAATATTAAATTTATGAATAGGATTTATTAACAATATTCATTAAATTAATAATTACCAAAATTAAATTAAATTAACAGTATTTATCAGTAATTATAATATTTTATTAAATCATCAATAATAATACTTTTAATAACATTTTTAATTATTTTTATTATAACAATAATTACTAAATTTATTAGCAGTATTTATTAATAATAGTATTTATAATTTTAATTTAAAGTAAATATCTATTTATTTAAAATATTTATAATAACAGTAATTATTAATTATATATTTATTAAATTACTGTAATAATCAGTAATTATTAAAACCGGGTTACTAAATTTATTAACAGTATTTTTTAATAACAATATTTATAATTTTAATTTAAAATAAAATTAAAGTAAATATCTAATTATTAACAATATTTATAATAACAGTAATTATTAATTATAATCACTAATTATATATTTATTAAATTATTGTAATTTACAGTAATTATTAATTACTGTAATAATAAGTAATTAATAGGAAATGGGTACCCGCACATGGGATCTACTCGCACAAGTAGATTCTATTTCCTAAGTGCAGAGAGCACCCATTTCCTATATATATATAATAAAAATTAGAAAAATATATAAAATATTATATTATAAATAATAAATAAAATATTATATCATAAATAATAAAATATATTGATAATATAAAATTATACATAAAAATCAAATCGATACCTTCAGTTTTTTAAAATACTAAATCTACCGGTTTGGTTACCTGAATTTTTTGTTTAGTCTCATCAATTCGACTTGATTTTCGGTTTTTCTTGCTCACCCCTATTACTAGTGTAGATATGTATTATGATCTCACTAATGCTACATCTAATTATCTTAATTCTTCAAAGTGCTAATCCAAATGGTAAAATCCATGATGCGGATATGGTATGGGGGACCCATGGCCAAAACATCCCCACTGCCGACCTCAATGTCCCCTCCCCCCCAATTCCTAGTTTTGCTCCTAGTTGATGATAATTTTAGATTTTCAATAGGAGATCTATTGTAATTCAAAATAAATTTTAATCATTGTATGGTTAATTCAAGGTTTTTAAAATTGAATTGTTAGACAATGAATCGGTCAGGGGTCCAGTTCTTAGGTCAAATTGTCCAATTGTTCAAACCGAACGGATGGTCCGTTCTAATAAAAAATAAAAAATAAAAAAAAATGATCAAAACTATTGAACAGTTTGAATGGTTCAACTGTCTGAATCAACAATTTATTGACTAAATCAATGTTTTTTTGGCAAAATTCTGGTTTCGGGAAAAAACAGAGCCAATCACTTGACTTAACCAATTCCCAGTTTTTCCGGTTCAACCATCCAATCCGGTCCAGTTTTGAAAATCATGGTTAAATTCATCAAACAAACAACATTAGGTTGTGTTAGATTGACCTCAAATCCATCTAATCCAACCTGACTTGTACCCCTAACAGTATGTGTAAATACAAATAATGCGTTGTATTTGTACAACAATCTTTATATATATATATATATATTAGAAGGTCAGTTCCAACTGGGAATCCAACAATGGATCTAGCTAGTAGGTAACCAGCAGATCAAGAGTGATGTCCTAATATCTCAAGTTTTGTTCCCAAATTATCACTCTATTTTGTTTATGGTATCCTATATTTTGTATCATCACCCTTCATGTCATCAGAATTATAAAGATGGAGGTAAAATGGTTTTCTCGGAAAAAAGTATTCAATAGGACAATAAATCATTTTTCCTAAGTTTTCTGTTAGCCAATGTGTATTGTTTTGAAAAACAAAATTATAGGCTATTACCCCATATGAATACTATGGATATAAACCAAGAGACCAACCTTCAAGATTAAAAAAGCATACAATTGCTATTCTTTTATTTTTTTTTCCATTTTGGCAAATGTTTATTTCCCAAAGCATTTATACTATGTATGGTTTGAAGGAAAAAGGAAAAGTAAGGGAAGTGTAGGGAAACCTTTACAAACCTTGTATAGGTTTTCTTACATTTCCCTTCCTTTCTCTACATAGTGCAACGAGACATCATAAAATATCATTTATAGGGAAACCATTTCATTTCTTTATGCATGGATTGTTTGCAATGCAATTTCATTTGCACAGTGCAAAAATATGGGAGTGAAAATTTTGATTTGATTATAATGAGGGGTAATTTGGTCCTTCCAATCATACAATGACACGTGGCCTCCGGATGACACCTCGGCACTGAGTCAACAGACCAGCTCAATAAGTTAGCTTAGAGCACCTCGTTCAGGCCAACCTCCACATCAGCAAGACCGAACTAGTAGACCCCGTAAGATTATGGTGACTTGTCCTAAGGGTTGGCCGAGCTATAGGGGGGGATCTAGGATGACCTACAAGGAAGAGCTCGCTAACCATCTTCGATAGTACACTACTAAGAGCGTCGACACCTCGACCATTACAATGGCTAACCAATCACACGCCTTGGAACTGTTCGGGTAGATCGTAACCCCCACGGAGATCCCGCAACCGGCACATTAACTTGTCTAACAAAGCAGAAACAGCTCCGCGAGAAAATGGGACCCGTTACTGGGTGTCTCTAATCCCTCACACCTATATATGGGCACCATCCTCTTGAGAAAAGGTACGTGCACTAAGTAATCTAAAGCTCTCTCAGTCTCTCAAAGAATTCCCAAACACTTTCTAACTTAAGCATCAAAGTGCCCTCCCCGAGTAAAACTCGCCCAGACACTCTCATTCTCTACCCCTTGCAGCATACATCAGCTCCACCATTCGTACATCAGCTCGGCCTTGCACAACTCGGCCCAGGCAAKTAGACATCCAAGTCGAAGTCTAAGTCATCAAACACAATGGAGCTTCCAGATTGCACGACATCAATGGTAGTGAGTGTACCACTGGGAGACATATGGGGATTTTCCGATCTTTTGGCTCCATTGATCCCACCTCAAGTTGGGGTTTAAAAAGAGTTCAAACCAGCACCCCACAAGGAAACGCCCCACAATGTCCCATAGCACATCTCAGTCATGTATGTGGAGTAGAACATCTCTTGATGATAATACAAAAAATAATGAGGCATCATCGGGAGATGTTCCCAATACACATTTGAAATGTATTGTGGGACATTGTGGGCATCCCCTTGTGGGGGGTTGATGTGAACTCGTTGAAAAGTATGAATTTGGTCATGATTGAGGCCTTGGCCATCCTGAATCCCATTTGACTTTTGCATGTATATATATCATATAGATATGTAGTTACAAATATATGAAAATTATAATTGACTACAATATATTTTTTAATAAAATCTATTAAATAAATTAATTTAATATATTTATACCTCATTAAGACTTTATATTTAATATTATTGATATATTTATATGATTTATTGAAGTATTATTGATTTTTTTTAGGATAAAAACATGTGAAGTTGAGGAAAATGATTAAATTGAAATCACGAGGTACTACTTTCCTTTCCTTGTGTAATGAACTTAAATATTGAAACATGCATAGCATGCATACTGAAGATAAGATTGAATCATCTGCTTGGAATAGATAAGTTTAAATCACTTAAAACAAGAGCCATCTTTTGAAAATTTGAAAGAAAAGTCTCAAGGTATATTTAAATCTATTTGAAAAACACAAGGTACATTTAAGTTAATTAAAATTCAGGGTTTGTTTAATTCTTTTACCCTATTTTTTTATAATTTACTGAAATATTATTGATATATTTTTATGATTAATTAAAGAAAGAAATATTTATATTATTTTCATACATATTTTATTTTTTTCTCCTATACGTGCCACAGTGAAATTGCCTTGCAATTTACATTTCTGAACCGTGGGCTAAGTTGCTGCCATGAACGCTGAAATTGTTGGATTAATGATAGGGATCTTAGACACCACTTGGACAGCTCTGATTGGCAATTGAATTTATATGGAACAGATGAAGGTTGAGCCTAGGGGTGGCCACGAGCCGAGTTTCTCATAAGTTATTTGAGTTTGGCTTGTGAAAAGCTCAATTCAGTTCGGTTAAAAGCAACCTTCGAACCGAGCTCGAACCTGATATATAGGCATGTTTGCTAATCAAGCTGAGCTTGATCCTTGTGAAGCTCGGCTCGTGAGGTTCGTGAGCCTAGTATAATAAATAAATAATTTTTATTATATACATGCATACTTATTGTTTATATATAATAGTAAATAAATTTCTCATGTAAAATAAAAACATTTATATATATATATATATTTATTTTTTATATATATAATAATAAATAATTTTTTTATATATAAAATAAAAAAATATTTTTGTATGTATATTTTTTATTTTTTAGAAAAAAAAAAACTTAACTTGCAGAGTTCGAGCCAAGCCAAACTCGAACTTAAAAACTTTTAACCGAATCGAACTCGAGGTCGAATAGCCAATTATTCAGCTCGAATCCACCCCTGCCTGAGTCTGAAAAGTGGGTTGTTGACTTGCTCTCTCGCAGGAAGAGCCAATGGAGGAGGGGAAAATTAAATAATAGGCAAAAGCGAAACTTCATCCTTCCAGGATTCTGCAAGGAAGCATCACCACATCTCCCTCTCATTTCTGTTTATCTCCTCTTGTTCTCCAAAGAAATGATCATTCTCTCTCCATCTATCCCTTTTTCTCATCCTTCTTTTGCAAGAAGAAGCACTTTGCTGCAAAGTTGCTTCTGGTTATATTACTCTGTCCTGAAGCAAATTAAAGATTTTGAGGCTCTCTCGAGCACAATAACGAAATCATATCTTATTTCGTTCTCGCCAGGAGATTGATGTAGTAAGTGTTTCCCTCTTTCTTTCTTTATTTTTTTTCATTTTGTTTTTGTTTCTGTTTGAATATCTTCAAACGAATCTGTATTTCTTTCTAATTTTTCCTTATCTTTGTAAAATTCGTCCGGAGCTAAAATCTATTGTTGGGTTATTCTTGCACTTGCAAAGCAGATCCGAGGAGCCAAAACATTCAAGTGCTTTTTCTATTTCTGTTTTCTCCATAGTCCTTACCAGGTATTTAATTGTCCCTTTCTTGCCTTTTTTTTCAATAATTTCCTCAGCTCAGTTTCAATAGTCACTAACACATCACTCTAATTTTATCGTTTTTATTCTCTCTCTTTCTCTTACATAATTGAACCGGCGGGTTAGCCGGTCAGGATTGAACGGTGACCCATCCCTTGACCTTCTAAAAGAAATAATGTGAATGTTTTGACCCTATCAACTGTTTATAGAGTCCTTCTCCAACCCAGTTTGGAACTGGGTCGTTATTCATTACATGTTTTCTTCCTGAATTCTTTGTTTGTTTKTTTTTTTTTCTCTTCCTTTTCTTTCAAACAAAACACGGCCTTAATTATGAGGGAAACTTATGGTCTTCTCACTAGTAATTCATGGGGTTACACAAAGGGATTAGCCCAACCCCATGCCCATAACGCCTCACGATAGTGAAGACGGGATTTGATACCAAGCCTCCACTACAATCAGCGGAAGAACTCATCTGATGGTTTGTTCACAACCTTCCATTGGATACTGGATAGAATAGCATTTGTGCCGATCTCCAAAGGATGTGGTGAGAACATAGCAGATTGAGTGGGCTTTGTTTGGGAAGACTGCAAATACAAATATGTACAGTGCAAATACATATACATATTTGCATTTGCACTCTTCCCAAGCATCATGCATATATGGGATTTCCTTCCCACAACTCTCTATCCACATTATCCAAACTGGATTTGCTCCTTACTGAGTGCTTCACACATCAACTTCACAGCACATTGCAGCCATGCAATGGAAACATCTTTAATTAGGAGGCACAGGAAATCTAGGCTAATTTTGGCCAAACCTGAGTCTCACTCCTACCTACCCTTTGAACTACAGGATATTTATGGTATTCCAGTGGGGCTTCATATGCACCCTGCTATGCCCCACCCCCGATTTTTCTACAAAAAAAAAATAAAAAAAAAAACCAAAGAACCTTACTACAGAGAACCTGTGATTACACGAGTTTGATCCTGCATGCATGGCTGCACCTCCTGTTTCTAAGGGATGCCAAGTGATAACCATAAAGAATGTAAAATGCAACTCAACATTCAAGGAGTACCTCTACAATATGCACACAGAATAACAGAATACTGCATTGAAGTGATTGCTTAATTATAGATCCTTTAAATTTTGAAAGAGGTCAGAACTCAAAATTCTCTACCTAGTTGGAATACAAGACTCATGTGTGAAAGGGTTTGATTGATAGATCTTTACATTTTGCGTTGTTTTCACATCAATCACAGGTAAAACATCATGGCTTCTGACTGATCACAAAGAGAAAAATTAATGGATTTTCTGGTGAACCACTTCCATGGTCCTGTGAAACGTCGATTTGAAGAAACTTTCTACCTTGAGGAAAACTTTGAAGAACTCGGGAGGGAAGAAAAGCAACTCTTAAATAAGAAAGCACGTATTGAAAGCAAGATAAATGAAGACACGGTGACAAGAAGGCCAGCTCCCGAAACTTCACAATGGCTTGATGATGTACAACGTTTTGAAACTGAACAGAAGACATTGTGTGACAAGATTGGAGAATACAAAAGACTCCCCAGAAAATGGATCCGCTTTCCGCAACGAGTACGGCTAGGCTGGCGTATAGCAACTCAGAGAAATGAGATTGCTAGGCTCAAGGAGGAAGCCAAGTTCGAGGATGGTGTAACTGTTGATGCACCTCCACAGACAGTTGAGCCAATATCTGCACCACCAATGAGAAGTGGGACTTCAACCGAGCGTACCGTACTAAAGATATTGGAATGCCTTACAAATGAGAGATTTTGGAAGATTGGAGTGTGGGGAACGAAAGGGGTGGGTAAGACTACAGTAGTTAAGATGTTGAATAATTTGCCAGAAATTAGAAATATGTTTGAAATCGTTATCTGGGTAACAGTGTCTAATGATGGGGATGTGAGACAGATACAAAATCAAATTGCTGGACGATTGAATTTGGAGCTGAATCCTTGCAATAATGGTGAGGAGTTTTATGGTGGAACTGTGAGAAGGCAGATACTAAGAAAGTTGGAGAATGAGAAGTGGCTGCTAATCTTGGATGATATGAGTAAAAAAATCGACTTAGAAGCTGTTGGGATCCCCACATACAACAGAGGAAATGGATCTAAGATTGTATTAACAACTGAATCCCAAAATGTCTGCAACAAAATGGAAACTGATGAAGAGATCGAGGTGGGTGTCTTGGCCAATGAAGAGTCATGGGAGCTGTTTCGAGAAGTAGTTGCTGATGAAGTTGTGGATTCTCCTGAGATAGAAAGCATAGCTAGACAGATAGTTGAAAAATGCAGAGGCTTGCCGCTTACCATCAAGGAGACTGGAAGGTATTTGAGAAAGCAAAGGAACACTCAGGTGTGGAGAAATGCACTGAATGAGCTGGATTCAGCCTAGTTAGAATGTATACTGGAGTTACAACTAATTAATCAAGCATCGTTTTGGTCAATTAATTCATAGTTCATAGATAGGTCTTTAGAATTAGGCAAACACAAGGAGGCATGATAATATATTTCCTTGTCATTGTTGGACATTTTTCCTTTTTATTTTGTAAAACAGAAAATGGGTTTGAGGCTACAAGTTTACATCTACTGCAACCACGTAAGAACAGGTCAATGGTATTTTTACTTGAAAATTAACTAATAATAGGTCTCAGGGTAGCTCATCTATGTCTTCATGTTATTGGGTGTCAGATATATCTACAACATTTGTTTCACAGATGAGGTAATTTTCAAGGTGTCCATATTCAGAAGATTGATACCATCCCATGGAGACAATTAATTAATTAAGTTGGTAAAATATTAGATTGATACCATCTGAATAATAAAGTGAGCAACAGCAGCTCTATTCCGAGAGAGAGAGAGAGAGAGAATGGTGTAAAGTTTATATTTCTTTTTATCCTTTAGTCATCAAATTAGATAGTGGATTTTTGCACGAATTATGTATTAATAGTACTAATTATAATTTTACAGATTATTAAATTTAAGAAATAACTAATATTTTAAAATTTTAAATAAAAATATTATTTAAATAACTCAATAATATTGTAAATAGTTAATAATAACTTTCAAATTATTTATTTAAATAATAACTCAATAATAAAAATATTATTTATTTAAATAATAACTCAATAATATTGTAATAATTTTACAATAATAGTGTATATTTATTATATATTTATATGTACTAAAATTAATATTTATTGTGTTTTCAGTAATTATTTATTGTATTTATTGATATATAAATACCCAAAATTTTAAAAAAAATCACCTCAATTGAACATCGGAGTGCAAAGTTATGGCCTCCAAATGTTAGGTGGTTTTTTTATCAAGTCAACATTTTTTTACCGAAGGGTAGGTTTCAATAGAACTAGACTCAAAATCAAGGTTGGGTGATGATTCGAAAGATTCAACCAATCAGGCTAATGGCGGGTTGAAAACATTGATATTAGTTTGGGCTGGTTTTCAGTTTGGGTTGGTCAGTTCAAAAGATTTAAACTTAAAAATTAAATTAAATTTAAAAAATACAATGATATTATTAAAATAATAATTTTAAAAAATTAAGTTTACAATATGATAGATTTTAGACTAAGAAATATGGGAATTTTCCCACTTTCCTATACTAAAAAAATTATATTTGAAATATAAATATTAAATATATATTTATAACTAGTCAATTCAATTTTGGTTGGTTCACAAATGGCCAAACTAAAACTAGCCTAGCTAACTTAGTCAGGTTGGGAAATTGTTAAATCAAAGCTGGCCAGAAATACTAGAAAGTGACCAACTTGGGTTGACATGGGTCAATTTGGTCAATTTCATCAGTTTGATCAACATCCCTAGATGAAATTAATTATTGTTATTTTTTTATTACAAAATAATTAATTATATTATAAAACAATTGTCTACATAAGCATTTATGTTATTTAACTCTTACTTAAAAAGTTTTGTGCATCGCACAGGTCCTTACTAGTACTTTGGATAGTCGTGTTAGCATGTCTCTCCTTTGAGAGAAGCTAATTATCTATTTTCTCCATTTTTGCATTTTCCTATTTTCTTTTGTTTTAAAAATATAAAAAAGTAATCATTGTCTATTTTCATTGGATCAATAAAGTTGTATATTATTATAAAGAGAGAGAAACCTTTGGGTTTTCCAATGCCTCTTATTTTAATGCAAGTTATTATTACATTTAAAAACATTTAAGAGAGAGAGAGAGAGAGAGAGAGAATAGTAATACAACATAATAAAGTAAACTATTAATAAATCAAATAATATAAATAGGTTGAGGTTAAACAATCAAACATAAAACAACAAAAATAAATAATATCATTTTAGAAATTTTTTAATTTAAAATGTAAAACAAGCTAATTGGATCTATGTTGACTCATTTTATAAAATGGTTCTGATTCGTCTAGAAACCCATAACATGTGATATACAATACAACATATTTTAACACATACAATAATAATAATAATAATAAAAATAATAATAATAATAGTAATAGTAAAAGTAATAGTAATCTATATAATAAATATACAAAATAATAATTATAATAATATTAGAAATTAACAAAAATTAGTAGTTCATAAATTAAAAAACTAAAATACAATTTAATTTAATTTAAATGTAATTAATATTCATAGTATAATTAAAATACAATTTATAACCTACCCAATTTAATTAAAATAATGTCATACAACTACTTCTACTTACAGATGATCATTTATAACCTAGACCAACATTGGGTTCAAGAAAATATTTTCTTCTAAGCTAGGTCTAGCTCACATCTACACCAAATCTAGAAAATTAGTAAAAAATTACTAAATTTAATAAAAATATTAAATTTTAGTAGGTTTTATCTAGCAACTATTAAAAATTAAGAAATTAATAAAAATTAGCATTGATAGGATAATTAAAATTAAAAATAAAAGTAACAAATTGTTTATAACTTAAACTAACTCGATTAAATCTATAAATTTTGAGGCTCAAGCAACTATTTTATTTTAAGATAGGTTTATCTTACATATGAACCAAACCCACATAATGTGGGTACATAGTAGAGTTGTTAATGGATTAGATTCAAATCAAATCTAGCTACATCCACCTCAACATACAATAATGAAATTTCTAGATCTACATCCACACCTGATTATATATTATCACACATAATATCCATCTACATAATTATATTGCATATATGCAAAATAATAATTTTTATTAGACTTGGATTCTAATTAAATTGGATGGGGTTAAATCCACATCCAATTGAATTATTAACCAAATGCAAGTACTAATATCCAAATCTGGGATAATTGAATCTGAAGTCTAATTGGGTGTCAAACTTTTGGAGTCCAATGAGGCCCCTAGCAGATAAAGCCCAAGCTAAGCAACCCCTAATAAGCTCAACTTGGAAGTTGTATGCATCTATGATAAATATTATTATATAATATTTAGATAATATAATTTATATTAATATATAGAAATGGTATATTTTTTTATACAAGATAATAATTGAATAAAAATTTTAATTTGTAAAAAAAATCATAGTTTTATAATTAACACGGTAAGCCTGTAGGCATGGACAAATATTATTACAATTAAGGTGTGGGCTAGGCTAGGCTAGGCTAGACAACCTTAAAAACAACTAATACACTATTAAAATTTAGCTCAGAATTTTTAATTTTTTGGTTCACTAGGCTACACAATGGGGGTAGCCCATCCCTCATAGCTCCTTTGGCTTCTATATTATCTAAAAATAAAAATAAAAAAGCCAAAAGTAGTGCATGCATAGGTTGTGATGTAGGGTGATTTGGCTCGACCTAGTAATAGGGGGACACGTGGACACGACTTGACTAGTAGGATGACAACTCATTCCGACACACCAAGTCCGCAACGGATCGAGCTCGGATAACCAAACCACCTCGGGGCAAGTCCACCTCGGTCCCAAGGCACTTCGGCATTCATACCAGATCGGATCCAAAGGGCACTAGCTCGGGCAATACTAACCGATCACTGCATGGCAACCCCGAAGATCTCGCCACTGGATTCCACGCCTCACGGGATCACGCCTCGTAACAGCTAACATTATCTCCCCCGTCCGATTCGGGCGGAAGTGATGAACCTTATCAGTTAGGAGCATTATCCCTAATTAACGCGAAAACGGACCTCATCGTGACGAGGATCCCGGAACCACTCCACGAAACCCGCGAGGACTCCACTATATAAAGGCTCCACCCCCCGAGGGTGAAAGGTACGCGTAATCTCTGCCCTCTAGCTCTCTTGCATTCTAAGCCATTATCAGCTCACAACCAAATACTGACTTAAGCATCAGAGCGACCTCGTCGGGTAAGCACCCCTGTGTTCTCTGATTCGCTTTTTGCAGATCAAATGAGTCTGTCATCTATTGGGAGCTAGACCACCTCTAGCAGGGAGCAGCCGGATTGCGCAACATCAAGTTGCACTCGGTTTGGTTCAGTCCAATTACAAATGTTATGATGCGTGCAACTTGGATGGGTTGGGTTAGGATTAGGATTAATGCAAGTCTAATGCCAAGTCTTAAACCTTGAGTTTGGGCTTAGATTAATTTAATTATGACTAAAAAAATTAACTATAGATTAATTGAATTGTGACTATAACCTAATTTTACATATTTACTAATATTTAAATATTTTAAATATTTAAGTGATATTTACAAAAAAAGTTGAAACATTTAGTCATTAATGGAACACTTACATTTAAATAGATTATAGCCTAACATTTAAATATTTAAATAAAATAGAAAACTAATAGATAATATGGAAAAAATAATTATTTTTATTAAATAATTGCAATAATTTATTATTTTTGTTAAAAAATATTAAAATAATTAACCCAAAATACTAGTTAAAATACAGATTTAATTATTTTAAACAACATTGGATTCTTTTCTAATTAGTTATAAGTTTTAGTTATTTCACTTTTCTTGATAAATCCCTTGCATCGCACAGGCCCTGCTAATTTAACAATAATGCATATAGCTCAGAACAAGTGGCTATTATTTGATGTAATGATAAAATATTGGACCGTCAAACACAACCACTTTATACAAAAATGCTAAAGGTTAGGACTGTACCTGGTGTGAGCAAGGGGTCATTACATGATTGGATATATAAGCCGGTCATTCACAGCATTGTGAGGAGCAGATTCCCTCCCAAGACCCGGATAAATGGGACCAATATTGGGTATTAGTGGTCATTTTATATGTATGCAGATGTGAACAAAATAGAATGGTGAAGGAGGATTTATTAAACGGCTCCATATAGTTGAGACGTGCAAGGCTTTGGTGATGGTGTGATGGTAATGGTGATTGTGATGCATAAAATAAATAAACTCTTGAAGGAAGGAAGGTGGTGTATTAGGACCAAAAGCAAATGGACACAAATGTTCATAAAAGATGYCTTCTATCTTCTTCTACATTATTTCAATCATTCTGCTTATTGTTTTGAAGTGATTCTTGTTTGTTGTTAACCTTCGCAGCATTTCATTGGTATTGACATTAATTAACAAGTTCAGTTTAGAGTACAATCACCATCCCAAAAGGCCTATGGAGGTTTAGGGTTTAGGAAAGCTCCTAAAGTTAACTTGGCCATGCTTAAATAT